TCCCTACACAGTGAATGGGATTCACAACACCAGCTTGCTGTGACTCGGCTAACAGAAAATGTTGAAGAGTATAACTGAAATCCCACCTCTTTCCTACACTTAGGCATCTATCTACAACTTTGAGTTACAATCCCATGTGATGCTGGGATTCATAGTCCAAAACTGCTTCCTGGTCTTACTTGTCTGCTTCATTCTTCTGGGTACAGATAACTTCCGTGCTTTTGAAACACAGCTGGTAGTGGTGGTGCCGGTGCCCACCTTTTATTTATATAATATAGCAAGTATAGTGCTGAGATAATGTATGTCTCCTAGGTTAAGTGCCCTCCTGAGCCCAACAGGGTTCAGAAGCACATCTCACTTCTATAAGAATGCCCTAACAACCAGGGTATAGGGAAGGCTGGGATAGGACCTCTCTAGGCCTACTGTTGAAATAGGGCCACTACATAGAAAGGACTCCAAGATTCATGGGGCCAGAGGTAACGAGCAAAGGGAAGCCTGACTGTAGGACAGTGAAGGAGACACTCACCTAGAAGAGGAAGTCCTGGGTTCCAGTCCCTGCTCCCAACACTGTTTATGTATTTTATCAAATGACTGATGCAAAACATAAGCTGTGCTGGGGCAGTGACAGGAACCCAGTCCAAGCTGTGCTCAGATCTTGAAGGATCTGTGTGGGGACCATGTTCTGCTGCTTCTCTTGAGAGGAAAGCAGGAATAAAAAAGCTAAAGCTGTTATAACTCTATTTACTTCTTTCTCTTCAAGTCACTATTGACAGTATCAGGATTTGGATAATGTCCAAACAGCATTGTCCTCCGTGATCTCCTCTAAAGCTCTTACAGAGAGAAGAGCTACCTGGATGGAAGCCTGAAAGGGAAGAAAACCACATTTCTGCATGCCCCTCTATCCCCTGATCCTGAAGAAGTCTTTATTTGGAGGTGTTAAGTCTTTGTCATTGGGTTCACTCTCTAGGACATCACAACCTGAGGGATAGCCAGCACGGGTTTGTTGCAGGTAGGTCTTGCTTGACAATCTCATTTCCTGTTATGACCAGGTGACCTATCACCTGGACAAGGGAGAAGAAATTGATGTCATATATCTTGACTTCAAAAAAGCCTTTGATCTGGTATCCCATGATAACCTCTTGGTGAAACTGGCCAACTGTGGTCTTGGGTCCACCACGATCTGCTGGCTGGGAAACTGGCTCCATGGTCAGACCCAGAGGGTGGTAATTGATGGAAGTCAATCGCCGTGGTGCCCTGTGACCAGTGTGGTCCCCCAAGGCTCTGTCCTTGGGCCTATTTTGTTCAACACCTTCATTAATGATGTGGACATTGGAGTCAGAAGCGGACTGGCCAAGTTCACTGATGACGCCAAACTTTGGGGCAAAGCATCCACACCTGAAGACAGGAGGGTAATCCAGGCTGACCTGGACAGGCTCAGCAAATGGGCAGACAAGAACCTGATGGTGTTTAACACTGAAAAATGCAAGGTTCTCCACCTTGGGAGGAAAAACCTGCAGCATCCTTATAGGCTTGGCAGTGCTACGCTGGCTAGTACTATGGAAGAAAGAGACTTGGGGTTCATCATTGACCATGAGATGAACATGAGCCTGCAATGCAATGCTGCAGCTAGTAAAGCAACCAGAACGTTGGCTTGCATCCATAGATGCTTCTCAAACAAATCCTGGGACATCATTCTCCCCTTGTACTTGGCCTTGGTGAGGCTGCAGCTGGAGGACCGCGTCCAGGTTTGGGCCCCACAATTAGAACAGGCTCAGGGGTGATCTGATGGCCACCTATAAGTTTATCGGGGTGACCACCGGTATCTGGGGGAGTGTTTGTTCACCAGAGCGTCCCAAAGGATGACGAGGTCAAACGGTTATAAACTACTGCAAGACCGTTCCAGGCTGGACACAAGGAAGAGTTTCTTTACTGTCCGAGCCCCCAAGGTCTGGAATAGCCTACCATCGGAGGTGGTTCAAGCACCTACATTGAACACCTTCAAGAGTAAATTGGATGCTTATCTTACTGGGATCTTATGACCCCAGCTGACTTCCTGCCCTTTGGGCGGGGGGCTGGACTTGATGATCTTTCGAGGTCCCTTCCAGCCCTAATGTCTATGAAATTTATGAACCCTTTATTCCCCCTTGGATTGTGAAATAAGATAACATCTGTTTGCTCTTAACCTGGCTTTTCCTCCCCTCTGTAAGATCCAAAATACTACAGCAGAAGGCAGAGCAGGGTAGTACCTTAGATACTAACTTTTTCAGAAAGGCATGAGCTTTTGTAGATGACAGCCTACTTCATCAGATACTGTGAATCATAGGCACCTGAGGTTGGTGGTCATGGCTGGCTTCTGCAGGTGGTTGCTGCTCGCCACCCTGCTGTCGCTGGTTTCTGTGGACGGTCACTGCTTGCCATCCCACTCCCCTGCTGCCACTGCAGGCTTCTGCGGGTGGTTGCCATTTGCCACCCCACTGCCACCACTGCCAACAAACTGCCCCTCCCAGTCTCAGGAGACACCAGTCACCCTTGCTGTGAATGGATGTCATTAATAGCATCTGATGAAATAGGTTGTTGCCTATGTAAGTGTAGGCCTTTCTGATGAGTTAGTCTATGGTGCCACTCTTGCCTTCTGACTCTGTTCAGACTAACACAGCTTAGCAAACGGTCAATAAAGATAGAAGACAACAAGAGTCCTGGAAAAGCAAGTGATTGTCTGGGAATGAGTTAAAGCACTGGGCCCCTTAAGGCAGTGTTTCTCTACCAGGGTGCCATGGCACTCTGGAGTGCCTTGAGCTCCTCTTAAGGTTACTGTGGGGTGCTGCACAACATTAGCACTGTTATTTGATTGATACGATAAACCTATTATTTTCATATAGGAAGCCACAGTGTTAAAAACCTTCTGACCTGTTATGGTCTTTCTGAGTTTCACACACCAGGAGAATTACTCTATTATTTTTCTGTAGTCAAAAAAGAGTGACAACTAGGGGTGCCTTGAACCTATCTAGGGGTGACTCAAGTCTAAACCACTGCCTTGAGAGCATATATCTGCCCCCGAGAAGTTTTCTGTGATTTACACTACTTTTAAGCCAGCTGTCTTTCTGAGGATGAAACTCCCAGCCCATTCTAATCCATGCTCACAGCGATGGAGCAGTTCAGAGGAAACCCTCCAAAATTTAGTTTTCTGTATGGAGAACTGTATGGACCCTTTATGTATATTATCTGTGCGAAGATTCTTCATTATTCTACAGCAGAAGTAGTGAATAAAGTGGGTTTTTTTAATCCAGCACTGCCTGATTAGGAGAGGTATACTAGTGTATGTGACCTCTAAATTACTTTATCATGTTTTTTTTCATTAGTCAAGCACTTTACTGTTAAGTTGGTTTGTTTGTACTGTTATTTTCAGCAAAACATTGCAAGTGCAGAGCAAACAGTTGTCAGATTTAGTGTGTTTAGATTTGTTACCAAACATTAAATAGTTCTTTTTGTTCCTAAATTCGGATGATTGTTTATTCCATAAACAATTTATAGGGTCATGCTCACATTCTGAAAACTAGAAAGACATTCAAAATGCTAAATGCTCCAGGGCTTTGCAAACTAGTCCCATGTGATACTTGCTATTCTCAGCATAGGTTAAAATTAGAACTAGGCTGGCATTACATTTCAATTTGCTGGAGTCTGTGTGAGAGTTAAATGGTGTTAGCCATTTAGCCAATATAGCCAAGATTTATAACTTACCCTTGCTCTTGCATGGAAATCAGTGAGTCATGGAAAAATCTGTGACTGCATCAAGTGATTTAGGTAAGTTTTTAACCTGCAGACCTAAGGAAGCATTTAAGGTTAATGGGAAATCTGGTTATCCAGAAGTAAGTTTGCAGCTGTTTGGCAACTAAAATTGGGAATATGCTTTTGAATTTCTAATGTTCATGATCACTCGGGTATTGTATTATCTTCCAGAAAGGGTAGGGACAAACGGTTCTGGTTTCAGCTTTTGCAATAGTCCTATTGTTATGTAGTTATATTTGCTTGAGAACAAAGGTTTGCAGTCAGGGCCTCGGGTATTTCATGATTCTAAAACTCTGGGAGTTTTGACTCCCCACCCCAGGATGGTTGTATATTTGAGGATCTAGATTTTCATCAAAAAAGAAAGATTTATTGATTTTATGGTTCAAATATTTTCAGCAGCAGTAGTAGAAACTCCATTCAGGGCCTGATGTTCCATTGCGTCAGGTGTTGTACAGGCATATAGAAAAGCCAGTTTTCTCCAAAAGCTTTTAGTATTAGAAATGGGAACTGAATGCTAAACTGCTAGAGTGTTGTCTTCGCCAACTGCAAACAGCCTTAAATAGTAGCTCAGAACTATAAGTAGGCTGATTTATTTCGATGGGTTGTTTGCCCTGAAGTCTAACGATAATTTTGTTTCTGTTCTTTTTGTAGAAACACTTGACTAATGTGTGTAGTCAGCACAGTTGGACACTGATAAGAAGCAAATAGCTGGTTATTGGTAAAGGCTATTGATGTGGAAATTTAATCTCAATGAGAGAAAGGAAAGATATAATAGAAATGCTTATCAGTTTGAACACAGAAAAATCCAACTACCACATAGTCATTCTAGTGCTACAGCTGGCTTGTTTCTATCATGTTTAAAGGTCCAGTTAAAAGAAAAATCATGCTGAGAGAGACTGTTTTAAAAATATGACCCTACACCAACCATGGGAAGAAGATTGTCTGTTGTGAAAGAGTTCTACTAATGTAAATGGTGGCTAGCCTTTCTACCTGGTTGAAACACATTTCAGATTTTCAGACAAGAACATGTTTGAGACAGTGATGTCTTTCTTCCTCTTGTTTCCCTTCCTTCATCCAATATTATGCTTTTATAATAAAAAACTGAAATGCAATGTTTAAATCAACTGCTTTTAATTGTATTTACTGTACATAGTTCTACCATGCCATTGAAAATCTTCATGAGCTTGAAACAACCCCAATCTAGCCCTCTAGACTTCAGGAGGGTTAATATCAGATATGGGTTGCTTGATTTCAGCCCTTCTTCAGAATAGAAAGTTAAATCAATACAGTAATGGCTGAGGAGAACTCTTCCAGATTATAGCATTATGTATTAAGTCACTCAGAGAGGATGTGTTTTCCTAATCTTAGGCAAACAGCATGCCTAAAACTTATGCCCCTAAATGTAGGGGTTTAAATACCTTATACTTTTTATATTACTGTTGATATTCTCATCATTTTTATCATTTTGTCCTATTCTCAAATCTTATTAAGGCCTTGGATTCAGTGCTCTCTAGTGGCAGTGATTTCCACAGGCTAACTGCATTTCAACTTAATTAACTGTCCCTTTGTTTTTGTATTACAAGAAGAGATGCTGGGAATTAGAACATTCAGTTTCTGAGAATCCCATCAGCTCTTCACACTAGTTGTGGTTAACAAAATAGGCAGGGTATTTACTTTGTATTCGTATCTCCTTCCAGCACATGTGGCTCATATGTGAGATTGTAATGATGACAATGAGTCTGACACTCAAAACCAGATACCTACAACTGAACTGGAATGTGTAAGAACCATGACTGAAACTGCACTTTGCACTGGTACGTTCACTGCAGTAAAGACGCTTTGGGAAGTGAGAATTCAGAAAATAAATGAAGAACTCCAGAAGGAAAAGGAATTCAGACAGAGGGCTGTAGGAAGGTATGTTCATCATAAGTCTGCAGTAAATGAGACAGTAAACTGTTTGTTCAAACATGGGAGATTATGACTTGTCCTTTTGGGAGTATCTGGTTCCATGATCTTCACTCCAGAAGAATTCTCGTTCAAGGGAATCTGATCAGTTCTTCGTAGCATTATCTTCAATCATAAGTAAAAAAATTAGTACAGCTGCAATGGTAATTTTGGCATATATATCAAACTATAAAAGCTCCTACTGTCTTAATATGCTTGTAATACTGTAAGAACTTTCTAGTTTGTTTGTACAGTACATCAATCCTTATTGGCAAGTGCTCTTTCTTTGAAATATTCCCCATTTAATGCTCAGAATGATTTTGATCTTTTATTATTGGAGATTAGTTTGTTGACTTGCATAAGCTTTAGATGGTTTCAAGCTGACTTCATATATATTTTCACTATAAAAGATTTGACTCTTCTTGACCTTTGTGATAAAGACCACAAACACAGAACTGATCAGATTTCTGTTTGTGGATGTACAGCTTATTTTGTAGGACTTTAAGACTGTGGAGTTGAAAAGATTAAGGAAGTTGTTGTCCTCGTCCCCATACAATTGTTTTCTATTTAGACATAACCCTTAAAATTAATTGTCTTTAGGACTTTCACCCATTGTGGTGGGTTTTTTTATGCTGTCCAGGATGAAACGTTACAAAAGTGGATGGAAGAAGTTATGCTCTCCATAAAATAAGGCTGTGCAGATTTGAAGTGCAGTCATACCGAACTGCAAAATGGTATTAAATTACTGAAAATAGAAGTCCTGTAAATTATCTAAGCCAACAATTGCTACATATCCAACCTTAAACACACAGAGTGTTTACTAGCATCCAATTAAAAAAAGTATTTGTCTGACTTCCGTGGAGGCTACTAGACAAAAACTTCTCTCTTTGCTATTCCAGGCAATAAAAAGTAATAGTAAATACTGCTCAAATTTAGAGCTGCATGATGAAAAGTATTTTATGTCTTGTAGATTGGTAGTTGTCTGGGAAGAGAGAGTGACTTTAGCCAAGCTTAAAAAAAAAGTAATTTCTGAAGATGGAAGAGCTATTTTAAAGATAGAAGAGGAGGAATGGAAGGTAATATTTATCCTACTGTTTGTTTTGAGCGGGCAGATAATTAGACAACTAAATTATTTTACATTTAATCCTAGCCAATTCTATTCTTTTCCCTCCATTAAGTGTCAACAGTGTGCTCTGTACTGTACAAAATGCACAGGACAAAGCAGGAAGAGTAGAATTACCACTGTGAAAATAGTCAAGCTCATTTTATTAAAAACATACTTTAATAATGGAGTACTGAGTACTAATTTTTTAACTAAAAAATGTCTTTCCAGCTGGGCAGGAGCATTTGGTTAAAGTATATCTTGTGGATTGAATTAAAAAAGTATTAATTTCTGTAATGTACCAGAACTACAGAGACACCAAGGTGCCTTGCAGCTCTCAGGCAGCAGAACTACTAGTTCTACTGCATGGAACTCATTTCAAACTTTTGTTTTGGTTCCTGGGTCTTGTTACTGAGCACAGCACTGCAGGTATCAAAGTCCTTGATACAAAGACTCTGCCACACATTACATTTAAGACATGGTTAACCAGTTAATCAAATGTTAAATTGTGACCGTTACTTCAATCAGCTAATGGTGTGATAAAATGAGGAATAAGCCAAAACGTTATTCCACAAAAAATATGTAATGACTTTGTGGCTCGTTCCTATCATGCCATTAGTTGAACTTGTGGCTAGGAGCCCTGTCAGCTGAAGGGTCTCCCAGCCCTGAGAGCACATGGTGTGTGATCCCAGCTCCCTCTGCACCAGCAATAAGGCCTAATGGTATCTGATGCATGATCCCACAATCATGACTCCTGCCATGCGTGTATGGCATAGTAGGAAGCGTTATTGCATGGATTGCATATCAGATCCCATCACACCTTTACCTGCACGTCTGACAGGGGTCTAAAAACAACATTGGTTGGTTGGTTGTTTTTTGGGTTTTTTTGCTTGTGGTATAGGCTGCATAGGCTAAACACAATAAAAGTGTTTCCTCCCCTTACTCATTCTGCATACTTAGGTGGAATTTCCTTCTTTTCCCCCCCCCCATCTGTTTAGACACTACCTTCTTGCTTATTGAAATTAAGCCATCTCCAGGAATGGCAACTCCATAGAATTAGTTTGATGAAGATCCCTGAATTCATTGGAAAGTTTCAAAGTCTCATTGTGCTGGACCTGTCCCGAAATTCAATTGAAAAGCTACCAAAAGAGATTGGTGAGTTGTACTTAAAAAGCCACTTCCTTAACTGGAGTCAACACAGTAGGATTGGATTTGGCCAAATGTGATAAGTATTCAGGTATATTCTCTTTGATTTGTGCCCTGTGCAGGCCAGCTGACTAACCTCCAAGAGCTGCTTCTCAGCTACAATAAAATTAAGTCTGTTCCTAACGAGTTAAGTAACTGTGTCAGCCTGGAAAGATTGGACCTAGCTGTGAACAGAGATATCTGTGACCTTCCTCTTCAGGTTTGAGAAAATCAATTTTATTTATATAGTGAATGTTTTCACTGCCTAAAAATATTATTTTAATGGAAAAAAACGAACTTTTCCTTTTTCTACGTCTTTAAAATGATATGGTACATTTTCATCTGTATGGAAACTCTTGCATGAAGTGTCAAACCAGTGTGTGGTTTATGTAGTATTTTTTTAAGAGCTTGATTCCACAAATACTCAAGCCTTTGTGTTATCTTTATTTACATGAATATTCAGACTGAAGTCAGTTGGGTTATTTATATCAGAAAGGTAAGTATGTATACAGATGTTTGAAATAATGGAGTCTAATTCTGTCCAGATCAATTGCCTTATAGGGTCAGATCCTCTGCTTATGGATGTCAGCTTAGTTTCATGGCCTTTAATGAGAAAACACTGATTGACAGGAGATGGCTATTTGGCTCATTGTCTTAATCATGACCTCAGGGGAGTCGCATTTAAGGGTGAAGCCATAGTGCTTCCATCATTCAATTATTGGTCTCCTGGCAGGGGCTACTTTTGAAAGTGGCCTGTGATGCAGACAGCTGCTCAAAAGGAGCTGGACTAACTCCATTGACAGAGGACCTTAAAAACAGTAGAGAGAATAAAAACTTGATCTCTATTTACCCAGCCTTAATCTGAGCCATTGACCTCAAGTAAAATATCAAACATCATAGTCCTGACTGGGGTTAGAGATGTTTATTGCATTGCAGAACTGTATCCATTTAATAAACCTGTAAAACCCAGTAACAACCAGGCATTGTTAACATAAAATATCAAATATTAACCATTCTAAAATGATGTAGCACAGATCACAGAGGTTTATGAAGTCAAGGGAAGGTATACCATGACAAAAAGGGTTCTAGGATTCTTGGCCAGTTTCTTATTTGCACTGAAGCAATGAAGTACTGTAAAAGGGCCTGAGGTCCCATGAGAGTGAGTGCTGCAGCCTTTAACTGCTAGATATGTGCCCACTATAGTGGAATCCAAGTGCTAGGCATCTAGGGTATGTCTGCATTACATACTGTATTGCTGGTAGAGATACAGAGAATGGCTTAAATGACCTAACTCAGGATCTGGAAGCAGTATATCTGCACTAATGTGGAGGTCTGCTCAGACTAATTTACACTGCTTCTCAGCTCCACATGTAAGGCACAGACAGACGGACACTAAGAATGAGATCTACAAAAGCCAGTAGTATGGCAAGCAGTCACTTAAATTATCTTTGCATGGTACTGCATTGTGTCAGGTGCAGGGAATGTTAATGTCAGAAATGTAGGGCATCTAGGGCAGTGATTCTGAAAGGGTGCGTTGTGAGATCACAGTGTGAGATAAATGCTCTCCTCCCGTCAAGCATCCTACACCTGCCCTAGCTACTCCAGCAGCTTCTCCTTTGGGGACTACTGCCTTCCCTACCCTTCCTACCTCCAGGTAGCTCCTGTGCTGCATCCCCACCCACCATGATCCCAACGGCACACAATGTTGTGAGTGGATAGGTGGCCACAGACAGAGTGGCACTTTAGAGGCCAGTTTGTTCTCTTCACTCCTCCCCAATGAGACCCTGAAGGAGCAGCCTCAGCAGCAGGGGCTGCCCTTGCCCCCGTGAAGTACAGACCAGGGAGAGAACAGGGTGAGGGTCCTGCCTCTGTCACCCTTAAGTGGCAGCAGTTAGATCAGTGATTTTTGACCTTTTAGCCTCAAGACCCCCTCCATATTTCTTCTGAATTTAGATCTATCTCAGTGATTTTCAACTGGGGTGCAAAATTCAGAGAAGTTATGGGGTGGGGGGTGGATCTTGTAGCTAAGGTTCAAGACCACTGGTCCAGAGACTAATCTTTTGCTTAAAGAAAAATGTATTTGCTGTAATTTTTTTTTAACTGTACCTCTCAGCACTCATGTAATTTCCTCTGGCAAGGGAATGGAATGTATTATATGTTGTGAAAACAAATCATATTCACCTTTCTGGATGTAAGAGCCAAGTGTGGTGCTAACTGTAATCCAGAAAAGCATGTGCCCAGGGTGTAAAGTCTTTGGGAAACATTGCTTTAGGTCCAGGTAGCCTCTGACAGAGGGGTTTAAACAGTCCATTGATATAGATCAGATTCTGACTTTTTTTCCAGGCTACGTTAGCTGTGACACTCTTTTCTGTTATGCATTCCAGGAACATTTTAACAATTCTTTAAATTGTTGTTTGTTGGCCAAGATGGCTAATTTGCAGTCCTAGGGCCCTACTACAAGTTCAAATTGAAACTAGATAGAGAAACCAGCTGTAGAGTTGTTACACATTTTCAAGTACTAATTTTGTAACTGTCTGGCCCTTCTTATAGCTGGATAGTCATTTTTATTGTATGATAATTACTTTCCATATGTGGCTGGTCTAAATTTATTGTGCAATTAACTAGTTGATTGCATAACATATGTAACATGTAGCAGGGACCTCAATGAAATCTCTTGCTTTACAGTATGTGCAAAGGTACATTACAGAATATTAATAGAAGTCTTCCCTTCTTTTTAGCTCAGTAATCTAAAGAAACTTTACCATATAGATTTGTGTATGAACCAGTTTACTACCATTCCTTCAGCTCTCTTGAACATGCCTAGTCTAGAATGGTTAGACATGGGCAGCAACAAACTTCAGCAACTTCCTGACACTATTGACAGGTAACCCCTCTACTCCCTGCCTAGCCCATCTTAGTTTTAATTTAATTGCACTGAAAATCTAGTTATTCAGTTGTTACAGAATATTACCAGGCAACAAAGTTTACAACAAACTGAAACCAAGCAACATTGCTGTGTACTTTTTTTCTAAAATGGAATATTCTGCTTATCCTGTTAACATAGTAGGAACATCTCAAAGCACAATATTTCATTATAAACTACTGCTTGGTGTGAGAAGTACAATTGTATAGTATTACAGTTGAATTTAGTCATTGACAAATCATTACATACATGTAATCAAGTTAAATTGTTTTGCTATCTAAAATCTCAACCAGCAATTTAATTGAACATTGCTGTATTGTGTGTGAGAAATTATATGACACATAAAATGAATCAATTCCTTCATAATAGTGGTTAATCAAATTAAATTATTTCCTAATACTAGATTGATTACCTGTTCTCTATTCCTGCAGAATGGAAAACCTGCATACTTTATGGCTCCAACGAAATGAAATAACCTGTTTACCAGAAACCATCAGTAACATGAAAAACTTAAGCACTCTTGTCCTCAGCAGCAACAAACTCCAGAATATTCCTGCTTGCATGCAGCACATGACAGATTTGAGGTGAAAAAAAAAAGAAAAAAAGACACCCCACCCCGGGAAGATATTCGAGTGTAGGGGTGTCAAAGATATGGCCCATGCTGGACTGCATGCTGAATCCAGTCAGTCCACTTCTACATTAAACTGAACAAACTCAAGTTAAGCATATACATCACTAAAAATGTTATATACTTGTTAATGCAAAACTACTCTTTCATTCAATATGTTAAAACACACAAAGTGCTTTCTTGTTAACAGTAATCCTAATTGTAAGACTTTGTAAGACTATCTTTAGGAAACTACAATTAATTTACATTGTCTTTTCCTTAAAATATTGCTTCATGGAGGCTACTTTTAGTTTCCAAGTGTAGTTGGTTCTAAGTGTAATGTTTTCTGATGAATTCCCAGATTTGTCAACTTCAGAGACAACCCACTGGAACTGCAGGTAACACTTCCCCCATGTGAGAATACTGAAGAGGAGGAACGGGAGCTATTTGGTATTGAGTTCATGCATATATACATTCAGGAGTCACTCAGGAGAGCAGGTATGTCCTTTGTACTATCCCTAATTAGAGTACAGTTTAACACAATATTAGAAAACATGGGAATGAAGAGTCAGTTGGAATTAAATTGGAGTCTCCCCACACTTGGCTTGTGTGGGGAGATTCTATTCTTTGGTCTTCATATACTCATCATGAGTTTGGAAAAAGTGAAGAGTTAAAAAAAAAAAAAAAAAAAGCTGCAGTTCCATTTTTTCCCCCTGACAGTAGGTAAAAAGCATCAACCCTTGATAAATAAGATGCATCTCAAAACACCAGTCCTTCTCCCATTCCCATCCCTAAATTGTTATTTCATCCTACCTCTTAATGCTTTTGGTCCCATGGGACTTCTCTGTTAACTGAGGACACTTGTACACATGCTCCAGAGGTGGGGGGGAGTGCTTTAAATTAGAGTGGCTACAAGAGCTGTTCTAATTAGTGCCATAACATAGCATGTATTAGCATCCCTGCACTTAAAAATGGTGGTGGGGGCACTTGAACTAAAATTTGTCAAACCAGCTTTAGTTCAAGTGCCCTCACCACCATTTTTAAGCACGGAGAAGTTGATATACAAGGTGCAGGAGGCTGCTGGAATGCAATAATTACCATGCTCTGACTCACTGGAATTAGAGTACATTGGAGCAGTCTCTGCACTCATGTACAGGCACTCAGAGAGGACTTAGGGATTTAACTACCTTTTCCTGTTCAGTGGTTGCAACTGCAGGCCAGGATTGAAGCATATAAACAGAACCATGAGTCAATCTACCTTTGCTATATCCATTAAATGAAAGAGAACTTAACTTAACCTTTTTTTGTAAGTGAACTTACTAAATTCAATCATGTCAATTCCAGCTTTTATTTAATGTCCCTTACAAGGTTTCACATGTGGAAATACAATTAACAAAAACCATCCTGAGGTGGCATTTGATTGCCAGACAGTCTTTTTTTTCTCTAGTCAATCCCCTAAACAGCTAGAAGTCATGAAATAAAAACATTGGTACATTAAAACAAACAGACCAGAGAGAATTTTCATGAAGTTCTAAATGGAGATTCAGCATGTTTGTTTCTTACATTTTAACCTATTATTTCTCAGAAAACCTGGAAGACAGCACCTCTGATACCATAAACAATGAAGAAAAAATGTAAAACTGCTTCTCTAAGCTAAGCTGGTTGCTTGTTGAAGAAAAATATAAGTTCTGCTTCTTCTGAATGGAGAAAGCAACAGAAAATTCCAAAGACAAGGATGGAGGTCTTGTAATTTTCATACCACTAAGAGTCAGCTGGCATTTTCTGATTTCATCTGAGATCATAAAATGCTTTTGTAAGTGCAGAAAAGGCTACACAATGTTTTCAATGAGAGTTGCATCTGTGAATAATGTTTTGATAAATCCAGAAACATTTTGTAGAGCTCGGTATTCTCTCCATTGCACATGCATCTCCTATTATGCAGTTGACTGGAGTATTGAACACTGATTTGGTACAGCTGTCAAGAGTACATTCTCCAAAGACACAGTGGAATCTGTATAGTATTGTAACACAGCCTTGTACCCTCTCTGTTGTAAATATTCAATCCGTCCATGGTCAATCAACAGTTTACAAAGATGACCCATCTGTTTCCGTTCTTCAACAGTAAGCAGCCTAGTTTCAAAAAGAAAAACATTTATTAGAAGAATATTTGTATTAAGTTTATAATCAAAGACTGCACAAATTGGTACCGGTGCATTTCAACCCAGGCAAGTGTGACCTTTAGGCTAAAGATACTGCAACTTAATTAAAATTGTCTGTTTTTTATTTTGAAATAAGTACAACATCTGGAGGTTTCTGTAAAATGGGCCATACTGATAACTGAGAGGTACTTCATATACTTGCTACATATGAGTAATTTGTGGAAAAGTCAATGTTGAAAGGGCTCACCTACCCTTGTACGCTATCAGAATTGCACTCAGGCCTGTTATATGCTTGGTCATGTTCATCTGCGTCACTGCTTTGGGCTCCACATTCTACATCACTTGAACAGGCTTCAGATATGGTTTCTTGCATGCCACAGGTTGCCCAGCTAGACATTCTCTGAAAAAAATTAAATTCCACTTGTCCAAGTCCAACTTTTTTAAAGAATTCCCTGCCTACGTAATGCTTCCAGTCACACTTGTGGTGGCAACATAGCGCAATAACAATTCCAGCCACAGTGTTGTAGCTCTCTGAAACATTCTCTCCACTTCTTTCCTTGTCAGTAAAATTGTTGGAACCAGCTTGGGTGTTATCACTCTTGAGGCGTTTAGCTGAAGGTTCTTCATTTATTCCATCATCCTGGGTTGCAAAACTTTCAATCAGACATCTCAGAGCAAGATCTGTGAACAGAAGTTGCATTTAAAAATGGCTGTAGGTGAATAATGCAGCATTAATGTACAATGTAAAGTTTGGGTAGGAACTTTACCCAAATTAAGGGGGGATGTTATGCATCCCAAAAAGCAACAAGATGCAGGTTGGTGACATACTAAGGATTATCAGCCTACATTAAAAGGTATTTATTTCAAACTTCTGGTTTTAACAAATAATGACCTTACAAAAAGATAAGACTACCTGACCTGCTAGTGACAAAAATTCTTGAATACTTGTTTCACATAAGTCATATTATGAATATTTCAACTACACATGTATTTATTGTAGCACTTTCTTCTGTAAAAGGACTAACACACATTTTTAGTATTTATGTTTGTAGGAAACTATTACAAAGATGATATGGTTGACAGTGTTCCATCAGTATATATGCATATCATCAGGTCCAGTTACTTTTGACTCCTCAGGCTGAATGAGCAGGTACCCATTTACAGATGGGTCAGCTGGGAGTAGCCTTCAATGCAAGTCCAGAGCAAGGGTCAAGCCTCTGGACCCACAATGAGATGCATTTCCAACTCTACCATCACCCTGTTCCCATTAAAAAATATAATACCCTTATATGCTGCAATTGTAATAACTGATACATTCATATTGTAATATTACAGCATATACTTGATTGTAAATGTCTTCATCAAGTTGAAAATCTACAGAACATTTTTAACAAAACCAAGTCCAAAATCAGGAAGAAAGTACCTTCCCTTCTGCCTAATTCTAAGAAAAACATATCTTCTCTGTTTAAACAACAATTACAGAAATCTTTATTCTGCATAGCAATTAACAATGTTCTGTTTCCATCTGGATTGCCTCTTTGGCTACTGGTCCTCACTTGTGCCTGTCATCACTGAGTTAGGACTTTATTCAAATCAACAAAGGCTTAAAGTATTACTGGTGCACGCAGCAGCAATGGAAGGATTAGAAAGAACAGGGCAAAAGAATCATTAGAACAGTTTTACTATCCAAGAGGTTTACAATCAGCATTCTGCAATTATATGAATATATTTGTACAGTTAATACCTGTTGCAACACCACACAAATGCTTCCCAATTCCTACTACAGGTAGTTTTTCTTTCACAAGAATGGGTATCTTGTCTGAAAAAAACAGAACTTGGATTATTAGAGCTAGGGAACATCCTGCCAAATAATGCCTTTCCAGCATACAAAATTCAAGCAATAGTATTCCTTTCCATATATATATATATAT